GAAGAGGCAGCTGTAAGGAAATGATGGCTATGAAATCCTAAAGTAAATTCTAGACAAGATATTTTTATTAGTCGCTGGAAGCTTCTGTATTTAGAGGACATTCTCTCCCTTGCTGTGTCCATTGAAGTAGACAGAACTTTTCATAAAGCTGCCTTAGAATTATGATATGGCAACAGCTATAGCTGATGTCACCAGACCTATACAGAGTTGGATACTGTTATTCCCCTTGTTAGTTTATATCTGCTTTCAGCTGGGCCTCACCCAATTACTGCGTGCAACTCAAGACAATGTAACCAAAGACCTTCCTCTGTGATGATACCTGGCGCTAAAAAGGTTTACTGGAGGGTGGGGAGGGCCAGGGCAGGTTGAGGGGTGCAAGCCACCCCTAGGATGTCTTTCTAAGATAAACTGTATTTACATTTGCCCCGTGTCTGTGTGCACTGAATGACCTTGGCCCTGACCTCACAGTGACTGTCTAGCAGGTGTGACACTGATGTACTCAGGTAGCTGCACTCTCTGTTGCAGAAAGCTGGAAAGCAAAGGAGAGCACAGGCTATCCTTCACTTTTAAGAGGATCATGTACCAGATTATGCATTACTTTGCCTCCATGCCTTTGTTTTTATATATCTTACTCCTTGTGCCTTTTACTCCTTGTACAGAACTGCAGAACTGCTTAGGAGTGCATTTCCATCCACAGCTGCCTCACTGCCTCTGTGTGCCACCTTTCCTCAGATTTTAAATCACTTTTGGAATCCCTCCAAAGGCCTATAGAAATATGAAGTTTCACATCCCATGCCTCTTCTAGTAACACCTCCACTACCTCTTCTCCCTCAGAAAGATTTTTTTTCCCAATCAGGTATGCATTTGTAAACATAATGACAAGAATATGAACTCTGTGCAAACCGTGAAGTAGTTACCAGTATGCTAAGAACACTTCACTGAAAGAGTAACTGGAAAAGAATGCAAAGAGATTCTCTGCCTCTCAGCTTAAGGTTTTAACTAATTTCTTTTAGCTACCGTACAATGATACCTGTGTGGATACCTTTGCTAGAACTGGCCCATTAAACCCTGAGCTCCATGCTGAACAGAATCTTTAAATCACCCTTCCTTGGGCTATCTAAACATCAGCTTTCTTGTGTATTTATGAACATCAAAATCTTTGACACATTTTAGCATCTTACTGCAGAAAAAAATACTCTCTTGCTCTTGCTAAACTCTCTTGTTTTGCAAGATAGTACAAAATGCACAAAGCAAATATATCTGGCTCTTCTAGGAACATGCAAAGAAACAGTCACTATTTTTTAGGATATAGCCAAGGATCTGGCTCTCCCCCCTTCTGCCTTCCACCTCTGGAAGAATATGAACAGGGGGGTTCTGGGTTAAAGCCCTTTCCCTTGTGTTCCTGAACAACTGAGCAAGCACTCAACACATCCCCATAGCTGCCAGAGACTCAGCTGCAGCCAAGAATCAAAGCCCAGGTCTTTTTTTTTTTTTTTTCTAATGCAACGTTGGAAAACATATTTAAGAGCCTCCCCTTCACCTTCTTCCTCTCTTTTCTTCTCCCCAGGACTGTCAATTCTGTCTCAGTTCTTTTGACTGAGTATCATATCACTGGGATTGATTGCACAAGTCACCTGAATGCCAGTCACAATGTTTAACCTTCCATTCACCTGCACGCTCTGAGACACATGATCTTCTTCAAACAGTCACCTTATGATTTACAGGTAGGGAAAAAGTGAACACTGAGGCTGCAAACTACAGGGCTTCAAATTAACTGAAATGAAATGTTTCATATATGCAGGCATTGCTACACACTGAAGTCCTTGTTTACGACATCTTATTTTACCTTCAACCCACAGTGACTTTATCACACCTCATTTGTAAACTCTGGGTATGAATTCTCACAGACTAAATGTATTTCATTTATTCATACTGGTAAATCTTTCCTCAAGGAAGTTGTCCTGCTAAATCTGTTAGGGCTGAGACAATGCCTGTAGTTGTGCATTAGCTTAAATAAAAGCCCTAAGAATGGGCCACTTATTTCCACAGAACCTGAACGGGAGATCAGCATCACCCATTCCCAGGAAGCCTGCACTGTCCCAGAACCAAAAGGAATGTAACTACATCATTCCAAGACAGCATTTGGGCTGATGGCAATTGGAGCCTATGGCAGTACCCTTCTTGATAGCTAAACTACTTGGCAGGCTGCTGCTGCTGCTGCTGCTGTGTTATATGGGGAGAGCAGAAAAAACAAACAAACAAACAAACAAAAAACAACAACAAAAAAAAAAGGGCTTTAATCTGTTACATAGTAGAGAAGTAAGACAAAGCATATTTCACAGAAAACCAGGACAGTAAGAAAAGAGCTTGCTAATAAACAATCACTTATGTCATGACGCTTTCTTTATATGCACAAACCTAGTCCCACCCTAATATCCAGCCAATTTCAGTCCCTGACTATCCCAACTGTGAGGAAAATTTTGGTCAAGGTGCAGCCACCATTAGATCCCCAGAAGATGCAAACATGAAATTGTACCTTCTTCAGCCCTGCTTCTCTCAGATCTGTTTGTAACTCAAGAGATATAAACTAGACAAGGTGCCCTGGCAGATTCACCAAAGTTCTCACTGACTTCCTTTCCTGATAGCCTTCTATTGCAAAAATTGCAGTTCTGTTCTCCAGACATTGGAAACAGCAACTACCAAAGACATTGAGTTTATCAAAGATACTCATTCCAGCCAAAAACTCCCCATGTCATAGAATTTACCAGATTTACACCAATTAGTGCCTTGGGATTTTCCACTTTCATTGCCTCATTCTGCCACCAAAAAGTAGATATGAATCCCTATTATTCTCACTATCCAGTTAACAGTGCTCTTTGCTTTTAATTCCCAGCAGGATCAATTATCAATGAACAATTAACAGGAGTGCTTGAAAGTTCAGAAATACAGCCTAAGAAGTAAAATATTTTCAGATGAATGCATGTCCTCTATTAATCAAATTTTACACTCACCAATCACAAACTATTGCTTAGTTCTCTTTCTAATGGCCCAGATTTATACCAAAATACAAATGTTCTTGCCAGAAAGTCAGAAAGTCAACCATGTCACTAAGGCTACAGCTTTTTTTTTTACCTCACAGATCAACTTTGGACTAAGAAAAGAAAAACTCATCTATTTTCCACAAAATAAACCCTGAATTTAAAAATAACACAGCTTTTAACTGTGGATTTTGTCAAGTTTTTTCTACTTTATTTTCTGTTCTTAGGAGCCACAATACGTAACGGTACAAGTGATGTGACAGAACAGATGACAGGACAGATTGCCTTGTTATCTTTCAAAAGCCAAACCACATTCAGGGGTAGAAAGAAAGGAAACTTTCTATAGTCTGAAGTACTGACACTGATTTCCTGATGAGACGAGTAGTCTCAAAATGAGACCCTGCAGAAGTGCTGCTTCTCTGTACTAGGAGGGAAAGTTCATGTCACTGCAAGTTCAAATCTCTTTCCATAGAACTGAATCTTGACACACTGTAGGTGCTGCTGGTGATTGTAGCATCAGGGCTGCCTGATCTGGGAAGCTTGGAATCTGAAGATTCAGTTGGGATAACTGAGGTTTATGCAGATAATTTGTAACAATTTCTCATAGCAACTCTAGTTGCTGCCATCTGAACTGGCAGGACTAATTCTTTTAGATTGCTTAGCGCAGGAAAGATGGGGACCTGCTGGAGTGGGTCCAGAGGAGAGCCACAGAAACAATCAGAGGGATGGAATACCTCTCCTGTGAGGAAAGGCTGAGATAGTTGGGATTGTTCAGCCTGAAAAAGAGAAGGCCTGGGGAGACCCTATTGCAGCTTTTCAATATTTAAAAGCGACTTACAAGAAAAATGGGGATGAACATTTTAGTACAGCCTGTACGATAGGACAAGGGGTAATGGTTTTAAACTAAAAGAGAGTGGATTTCGACTAGATATAAGGAAGACATTTTTTACAATGAGGTGGTGAGACATTGGCACAGGTTGCCCAAAAAGCTGGTGGATGCCCCATCCCTGGGGCAGCACCTTCAAAGCTCTGTTCAAACTCAAAACTATTCTGTGATTCTATTATTATTTTGCTGTTTCAGTATTTGTAGCCAGATTTAATTCTTCCTTTCCCCCTGATCTTCTGTGTACTGGTTAGTGGCTCTGTGTGCACTCCCAACTGAATAAATGGTAGACACTTGTGGAGGCACAAGCATCCATTTATCCTTTTTAGTGCTAGTGGATTGTTAACCCTAAACACTGACAAGTGCTAGGGCACAAATAATCACACTGTAGACACTGTTCTGCATTTTCAGAACATGGAAATACTATCAAGAATTTTTTTTTTTGGATGTTGTCAAGAAGTTTTCAAAGCTCAGACTGGTGAGATATTAGGAAAGATTTCTAAACTGTGTATGTCAGTCAAATGGCAACACTTGTGCTTGCAGGTCTACTGAAAAATGAGAGAGAAATTAAAGATGTTGCTCTTCATAGCAGACTATAATTGAAGGGGTAAAAAATAGTTCAAATCTACAGAATTCCTTAAAAGGAAACCAAAATAGTTCATATTTTATGAACTATATAGAAGCACAAATATAATATTCAAAAGTTCTTTGAACAATTTATATATAAATCATTATAAATCTAAGCATGGCATGGACAAAGAAGTATTATCAATAGTTATAACTGTAATGGCTGAACCAAATATCAAGTACTTATGAAGATGTCTATTAACAGGGTTACTGTAGTGCAACTGCTTAAGAGCTGGTAGTCAAGTAACAAGTAACAACATTGCCTACACCATCCAGTCTGTTCCTTTCTCAGATTTCAAAACATCTGAACTTTCCTGAAATATTTCAAACTGTGATTCTTCAAACATCTTTCTTCCAGAAAGTTCTAGCAGAGGAGAAATCTGTATTTAGAGACACCAATGGAACATTGGCAGTGACTGATTTTGTTAAAGACAGTGGAAAACTTTCAGGAGTTTAGCGCCACATGCACTCAGTCTGAAAAGAGTAGGTACTTTGCAACAAAGCACAGGACATTGCCAAAATTTTCTCTCTGTACTAAAATTGTTTTCATGCTTTTTCTCTTTTTTCTTGATCTACAAATACCGTATGCAATGTTTACAGGAGCTAGTTATGTATTTAGAAAACAACTTTTCTACAGCTATCAAGACACAGAGACGTCGAGCCCAAATGAAGCTCTGCAGATTAAATACTAGTTTGGCAGTATTTACCTAACTATTTTCATTAAAATGTAGGTGTGAATATTTGAAAGTAATACTCGCTTTTCTCTTTCTTTTTCTCCATATTTCCAAATTTCTTGTCTTTTTAATAGGTTCATTTAAATGTATCTGGCACCTTTTCAATGTCTCTGCTGGAAAATGCAGAGAAAGTTTTCTTATGCAGTATACCACAATCTTCCAACGCAGAGGCAATACAAAAATTCTAATTCTCTTTCTTGATCCTCTTTTGCTCTCTGGCTCACAAACAATTAAAATCCAGACCATCCATCTGATCCAACATCTTGCTAGAACAAAGAGATCAGAATCTGAATCCAGACAAACAGATTATTTACTGAGGCTGTCACTGTAGCAGACCTCTCTCACTGACAGTGAGACAGCTCTAGTCTCCACTGGTGATACTCTACAAAGTGATAATTCTTAACTTCTGTTGGGGTCTCATAAGCCAACAGCAAATTAGGGACTCCAATTGCACATGGAGCAAAGGAGAAGGTCTACTCGACACTCAGGTCCTCTGTGTTCTCAGAGATGGCTTTGTGCCGTGTTGACTTTGGCTTCTGAGGAACCTCAGTGCTTACACCCCTTGGCACAAGGTTTGGGTTAGGGCCTTTTTAACAGCAAAAACTTGTTGAAAAATCTTACATAAGCACCTACATTTCATTCTAGCTGATAAATGGGAGACAGAACAANAGTTAAATTTCCTTTTATGGATGGCAGACTATTACCAGGTCTGGAAAATAATGTTTACATGTGGTTCAAACACTCTACAACTAAACATACCTGGTAACACATTGTACCAGCTTGAGAACTACCCAAACTGCCAGTGTTGCCATGTCAGAAACATGTGTGCATCCTATTTTGCAGGCACATCATAATCTGAGATATCAGAGAGGACTGTTTTTCCTGTAATTATAAAGTCTGGCTTGTTTTGGCTAAAGTCCTTTGGTACTGTGAGTGGTATTTGTGAGGACAGAAACAAGGTCATAGTTCATCTCCTTAACTGCTTGTTCTAACTTATGAACGGGACAGATGGGGGGTGGGAGGGAGAACACATGACAGCTCCAGTATGTGCTCCAGAGTTCTGTTACAGCAACCAGCATTTGAACTGTTGTATACAGTCACTACAAAAAAATATGCTTATGTGAGAGTGATGCTTATGAGAGACTCCCACGTACTACACAAGGGGAGCTTGAGCCTAGGTGATAAGGTTGGAGGTGTTGTGCTCATTCTCATCTTCCTCACTGGTTCCAGATTTCAAGATCAGAAGTGAAGGCACACAAAATAATTTGCCATTTGAATAGTGCTAAACCTAGGAAGAGAGATAAAAATTGCATCTTTTTCTTGGAAACTCATGGTCACCAGAAGAATTCGTGCCAGCAAACAAGGAATTGAATTAAATCCAGTGCACATTTTCAGCTAAGTGGCATTTAATTCACAATGGGACTGCTCTCCATGAGTTACTGCTGATCACATATGCTTTCCAAAGTAGGTTAAAGCTCTGCTGTTCTAGATTGGTAGCATTTCACATTCACTGCATGGTGAAAGGTTATGGTGAAAGGTTGCTGAGAACTAAGCCTAGATGGTATCACAGGTCTTGGCTTGTTATACAGAGAATTTGGTAGGAAAGGAGTGACATTGGTGGAAATCCTCTGTATTGGCGAAGCAAACAACCACACACACTGTGCATTGTTGCCATCCACCTTGGTTTAAATTCTGCAACTCAGGCTACATAGAGGGACACTATATAGCCACAACTCTTATGTTGCAGGAGCACACACAAACAGAGGGACTTAGTCCCTTCTACTTTCCCACATCAAATTCATCCCTGAGCTCTGTAGTTACAGTGTAGAAGAAGGATAGGAGAGGAATATTTTGGTCAGTTCTTTCTCTGCCTCAGTTTTACATCTGAACACAAGGATGGATAAGCTTTAGACAGTTTAACCCTCTACATTACTTCATGATCCCTTTTTCCTGGATCAATTTTGTTTAATTATGAAGTTATACAAGCTTTCCTTGCTGAACTTTGTGCTTTACAAAAAATTAGTTCAATGTGGCTAAATGTATTCACTACCTTTAATAAAACTGTGGAAATAAATGAGGGAAAATATTTGTTTCCTCTATCCTCCTTCCAAGGCATTGTTGTTCTTTCCAGTGTTCTTTGGAGTGTATTTTTGGTAGGCTTGTCCAAGCTGGTTATAAGTCTTTTTATTTATAAAGAATGAGCTGTATGAGGACATGACTTTGAGTGATGCTGGATAAATAGGAACTGTCCATCAAAGCAGAGTTAACAAATGTTTATTTGTTAGAACCACTAGACGTCAGGAATTCTGCTGTCATTTCACTCCTGATATTTCTGAGCCCAAAGAAATGGGAGATTCAGGTAGGTTTTCCAAAATCAGTAATGGGTTCTGCCTGCATAACTGTTGTCTATTATTTGACATTTCCACAACCTATTTCTCCTCAGGCTACAATATTTCACTGTTATAATCTGCCAGTGAAATCCTTCCTCTCCCAGTTTCCAAGTCAGTACCTTTACCCAGACAAACCTTCACCAGTCTTACGTAGGTTTGTGTAGCATAAACACAGTGGTGACTGCTGCAGTGTTTATAATATTATTTTTATAACTGTCTATAAAGCTGACATGCACCTTCAGCAAAAGGTTGTAACACACCTCCTGACATTCTGTTCAGCTGTTGTTCCACTCACAACTCCCACTGAACTATGTACAATGTTTTAGGTGTGGATGTGCCAAAACGTCACAGAGAAGCACTAAAACCTCTCACTACTCTGATTTGTTGTATTACAGCTTAAAGCCGTAATAAGGCTCTGAAAGCCCTCAGTAGCCAAATGACTGTGACTCTGATGTCTCTTGGGACAAAGAAGAAGCTTTCAAGGCCAGTATAGTCTGTGTCCCCAACACACAGATGCGGGGAACAGGAATTCCACCTGCCCTATCACCAAATGATAGGGAACAGGAATGTAAGGCAGAGCTGGCCACAGCCTGCTGGAGGCCATGGGCAGAGCCAGAGAATACTCAGCAGTAGAATTCCACTATCTGAAGCCTGTTCCAGGCCAATGTGGCAGTAAAGGGCTACAGTAACCACAGTCATAACCATAAGACAACAGAGAATAAAACATTAAAAACATCTCAATAAATTGTAGCATAATGAGCCATTGGCTTCCAGACCTATCTGGAAAGGCCTGGCACTTGCTCATCTCCACCTCCCACGTGACCTCCCGTGTCACCACAGTTCATTTGGCAGAACTGAGGGCACAAACACTCCCTGTTCCACCACAGCACAAAGGTCTATGCTCTATTCACTGTCTGTGAATGCTTCAAGGCACTGCCTGAAAACAGGTGTGAGGACCTTCAGAAAGCTCACAATTTACCTCCATCCTATAAAATTTAGTGGGTGCTGAAGAGTACAAATGCACTTACTATCACAGAACAGATTTTTTATCATTTTTCTGCAGAAAAAAAATAACCTCTCCCAAATCCTTTATCCTTTAAGAACTCAGACATATAATGAAAGCCATGAGTCATCTGGAGCTACTACAGTCAGACTAACATAACTGCAGTCTGACAACAATGGTGCAGCAATGAAAACACACTCATAAATATTTTTGTCACCTTGGTACCTTCCGTGAATGGGGAGCAATGCAATCACAGTTTGACATCATGACTGGTATCAGTTTGTCTTTTGCCTATGTTCAAGAGATACTGTCATAAAAGTTACACAACTGTCTGCCAATAATTATTCTTAACAGCAAATTTAATTTTGGCATCCATACCTGGAAGCCTAGAACTTACATAGCTTCTCCTCATGTATTCCATGTGCACTTTGAAGGATAACATCACACTCTCCATCTCTCCTTATAGCTTCAACACCTGCAATTTTGCATAAAAATCAGCTGAATCTTAAAAGCATAAATGAATTTGCAAAAATCAATAAGGACAATAAATTAAAGTTGGCAAAAATAGAGCAGGGGTGCTGTGAAGACCATTAGCTTTCCAGAGTATTGCCTAACTAATCTAAGGCTGAAATGGAATAATCACACTTTAAAGAGCAGATTACTTACTAAACACTTGCCTTTTTGGTTTTTTTTTTAATTAAACATATAGTCTTAGTATCCAAGGCATAGTTTTAAGGTAATAACAATATCCTACCCCCAGTAACTAAAGGGCAGTGAAGAAACAGGAAATCCTGCCTTTGCTGGCATAAGAAAGCAAGTGAATGGGACTATCCTCAGCCCAGCAAAGCTTCCTGCCTGGTAGCACTGAGAAGCTTCCTCGCGCTGGACCAGTCTGGGATTAAACATTGGAGTTCAACTACCAAAACTGTCAGTCAAGAACCTTTCAAGCAACCTAAATTCATATTGAAGTGCTAAAGGAAATGCATGAAATAGGAGCAAGTCATTCAGTGTTCACAAAATACAGCTGATTTAAAGCAAACTACATAACCTGTTGCGTGGGTGGACTTTTATCTGATGTGGGTTTAGTTGACAGAGCAAAAAATGTTAGCCAATATAAGGTTAGAGGCCATCCTCTGAACAGATGCAAGTGATAACCCTGTGAGCTCAGCTGTCTGCTCCAATCGCCTTGCAAATGATAGTGTGTTTCCAGCAAAAATTACAGGAATTTAGTCAGTTTGTTTGGACTAAGTGAAATTGCACAACTACATAATTCTGCACGCAAATGCTGTGGAAGCACTGGGGAGGCTTCCTCATAGGGGCTTTAAATAGAAGGTACCAGAACTCTATAAACTCTCCCCAAACAAAGTAATGCTTCCATTTCTAGGGAGTAAATGTGGCCCAGCAATCTTTCTTTGCCCTTGGTACCACATATGCAACAAAGGTTATTCTCCTTTAGTATTTATTCAGAATCTTAAAATTTAGCCAAGTTAAGAGTTTCTGACTCCTCGATGAGGGGCTCGCAGTACCAAGTGTCATTTATTTTAAAGGCCCAGCTCCTGGAATACTGTGATCATCCTCCCACATTTCATTTACAAATGTAAAAAGCACAGGGGATGCTGGTGTTTGACAGTACTCTAAAGCTGATTTATATGCTGAAGGCAGTCTATCCATGGCAGCACAGAGCTGCACACAGAAATATTCACCCTGCTGCACTGTTCAGCATGCTGATACAGCAGGTATTGACACAGCATGCACGTATATCACAATATTGATACAGGATACAGCAGGTAAATTTCAAGCCTTCGTGACTCCCCAGGGAAGCACATGAAATAAAAATCATCAAAAGAAGAAAAAAGATTCAATGAACCCTGCTTCTCTTCTGGTTTTCCTGATCTGGGACGAGGTTCATTAGTTCTGAGCAGAATGCCTGATCTCTGCCAGTCCGATAGGAGAGCATTTTGGCTGCAAGCCCAGCCTGCCTCTACCTGCAATACTGCCAGCTCCTGCTGTCTTTAGGCCCTTTATCACTTCTTCTTTAGCCTGGAAGGGCGGCGTTGTCAGAAACTCTCCATAACCAACACTAAACGTCACTGCTGAGTGATGTGCAGCACTGGCACAAAGGCTGAGCACCCACAGTCCTCTGAAATCCTCCTGAACAGATCAGAGAGATCCAGGGTGGAAAATTGAATCTAAGACACTGAGTAAGCAGAAAATTCCTTCAACACCAGGCTACCGGGCCATTCCTCAAATTTACCAAAGCATTTCAGCAATATGCTCTACAACCTTTTTAAATGCCCTGTGGTGCTGGATTACTTATGGCTTCCCACTATTGCTCCCATTAAAGACTTCTGTTAGTGCATTATGCATACAGAGGTCAGACACTCCGAGAACAGTGTAAATGGAAAGCATTCTGGACGAAAAACAGGCTTAATGCTGCTTTTAAGCTACAATTCAGCATCAAAGTCCCGCGTGGGGCAACTGAGGCGGGCAGCATGGTGTGATGTTCTCGTCCGACAGCAATGTCAAACACAGCAGCATCCGCCCCCGAGAGAGGCGCACAGCACGGTTCAGCATTTCGTCATGTGGGTGCTCACATGGAGCAAGGACCTACTCTGAGGAGGGGGCGGAGGGCACCTCCCGCCCCCCCATGCTCCGCGCTGATGGGACGTCAGCGCGGCCGCTCCCCTTGCGGGGCCCCGCAGGATTTCCTGCCTCCGCAGCCCCTCAATTCCTGGAAGCGATGTCTCCCGAAGACAGGAAGGGCGGGCGCGGCGCCGCCGGCTGCACCGAAGCCCCCCGTGAGGGGATGGGGCGACCCCCGGGCCCCCTCAGAGCGGAGCGGCGCGCGCACAACCCCACCGCCCCCCCCATCCTCCCCGCGCGCTTCCCGCCGCCGCCGCGCGCACGCACGCGCCGCTGTAACGGCCGCGGCAGCGGCACCGCGTGCCGGGGCGCGCTCACGTGACGGGGCTGATTGGCTGGGGCGCGCGCGCCCGCTCCGCTCGCGCCGGGCCGGGCAGGGCAGGGCGGGACCCGCCGCACCCGGCACCGCACCGGGCATTGGGCACCGCGCACACCGCTCCACACACCGCACCGGGCATTGGGCACCGCGCACACCGCTCCACACACCGCACCGGGCATTGGGCACCGGGCACCGCACCGGGCACCGCACCGGGCACCGCACCGCGCTGGGTCACTTCTGTCCCGCCCCCAGCGGGTCCCGCTCCGCGCTCAGGTGAGACGCTGCGGCCCCGGTCATGGGAAGAAGGGAGGGAAGAAGGGAGAGAGGGAGCGAGCGGGTGGTGCCCGCTGTCTGGGCTTCCCGAGGCTCTCCCGGCGGGACGCGGTGACCCGGCGGGGCCGGGCGCGGTGGGAGTTGCGCTGGAGCTGCGGGAAGGAAGGAGAGGTGGGTGGCGGAGAAGCCCAGCGGGCCGGGGGCGCTCCCCGCTCCGGGGCACGTCCTGACCGGAGCCCCGGGCTCCTGCCCCAGCGGGGTCCTGGTACCCGCCCGGCTCGTGCTGGTGTCTCGTGCCCTTCGCCGGTAAGGCCAAAAATGCTGACGGCTCTCCCGGGAGTCAGGCGGTCCTGCTGCATCGCTGCCGACCCATTAGATACCGTTAGGCGCGTTTGGTGTTTCTGTGGTTGAACGCGGTGCAAACAGTGCGCCTGGGGTGTTTATCGCTGCACCTGGCATGACTTTTACACGTTCATGCGGGAAATTTATCGTGGCTACCCCCTCTCTGTGAAAACTAGATGGACAAATCTAAAATTTGTTTGTATTTCACTTTCCTGGTGTTGGTTTGGCACATTTTCCATAGAAATGAAACTTTCTTCTCCTACAGAATCTCCAGGCGCTTTCTGAAAGCACTTTATTTGAAAAGCAATTTGCTGAATTAACATAGCATGCACAAAGATAACCTGAGTTGACGTACTAGCAGAATAACATCTATCTCGTGAGCAGAAATGGAATATTCCTGCCCTTAGGTTCCTTTTTAATCTTAAATTATTAATGGTTCTCTGCATTACAAGAATGAAATTTGTAATTGGTACAGAGTGTAAATGCGTGTAGAGAACTGGATACAAGAAGACCTGATTATGAAGAAGGATGTACCTCCCAAAAAGACTAGCAGGAAAATGAAGTTAGAGAGCCTCTTCTCTTCTTTACAGTTGTTGAGAACCTCTGGGGAGAAGCACTGGGCTGTATCCAGCCCAACTCTTTTGCAGCTCTCCAAAAGGAAGAATGAGAAAAGGGCAAAACTTTTCCCTACTTGGATAGCATCGGAAATTAGAGCTTTAGTACATGCACTTTTTAGCAGCTGTTTAACTGAGTCCTTGTGGGTGCTCCTAAGGCAGGGTGAGTGGCAATCATAGTATCCCATCTTCTTTTAGAACCTGATTGTCAACTTCTCACCAAATGTTGTCATTTGTACTTAGCTAAATAGAAATATTTACATCACATGTCATCAGTTTCTTTTGTCTGCGTAATCAATGCAGGAAAAAATTCCTTTTTCTCTAAGGGAGACCCTAGAAAAAGCACACTTGTCTAAACTGAAGTAGAAAGGGCAAAACACTTGCATTTACTATGGATTCTAGAACACTAATGGTTTGAAATTATCTTGAGAGGAAATATTGGTTTAGGTATCAATGGGAGGTAAAATTTCTACTGTCTGTTCAACCATGTAATGTACAGCAAGTGAGGTGTATCATAGTAAAGATTACAACAGTGAATTGAGGTTCTGCTCTTTCTTTTACTTGAACTTTTTCCGGTGTTTGAACTCTTAAAGGCAAAAGTTTGAAGTGAGAACGTATTAAACAAGGAAGAAACATGAGGCTTAAAAGCGGTTTTCTTTTACAGAATCCTTCAAAGTTTGTTGAAGAGATTTGGGGCAGATGTACTGTGAATGTGTGGTGTTACAGAACTGAAAGCAATACATAGAGATGATGGGCTGGTAAAAGGAAACTGGAGTAGTATTAGAGGATAAAATTCTGCAATGTTTTTAGTTTTGTAATAATCTTCAAAAAAAACCAGGGGTGAGACAAAGACTGGATCAGCTTAGGCTTCTGAACAAGCCAAAGGTGAAGCTGAGGTGGATTTGAGGAGAAAATTGGGCTGAGTTTTCTTGAGTTTTCTGTAGTGTCACTATGTTAGAGGAGTGTCTTGTCCATAACAGAAGAGGCTCCTAGACCAGATCACACATGATTGTTGGCCCCAACAATCCCCATCCAGGGAGCCTAGTGTTCCACCCGGCCTTGCCTGCATTCCTTCTGGGCCTGGTTTACACTGCAAATGTTTCACCTGCCAACCTGCAGCAACATCCACCTGCTCCTCACTTTCCTGCCTATTTAAAGGAATTTCCCCCCTTTGGAGAATTAGACCATATAGGTACATCCCTCCCTGAATTACTCTGTGTTCCAGCTGGCTTTAGTTTCCCTCAGCTTACGCTGACCTTGCTGCATGTCCTGCAGACAGTACCACGGTGTGCTTGCTGTTGTGGGTGAGTGTGAGTTCAGGTAATGACTGCCTGGGTGTGGAGCAGATGGAAGAGAGAAGGAATTGCACTGCCATGGAAGGAACTGGTGCTCTCTCATGCGGGCACTCAGGGGGAGAGCTGTATAAAGCCAGCTCTCTTCTCAGCTATGAGAGAGACTCAGATGAGGAAGGTCCATGTAAGGTTTAGCATCTCTATTCTTCTGAGTGCAGATCATCATCACAGAGATAGATGATGTGCTTGGTATGAAAGATGTTTATAATTTGAAGTTGTAATCAGTCAGCACAATGCTAATTAAGAATTGAGCCCTTCTTTTATGGTCCCAGCTATCTTCAAAACCAGAAACCCAAAGACTGAGGGCGGGGGAATGGAGGCCAGAAACATTTTTCTGTGAAGTGGAACTTTTAGGCTTATGCTTTAGTAATGATGAAAATCAGGTTTAGCTACATTTCTATCCACTTACATTCTTCGAACAACTGGTCTGACTTTACAGCATAACAATTTAAAAACGTCTCAGCAAGCAGGAGAGTCTCAGTGTGTCCTTTAATAGGACAATAATGTAAATAATTAATGATTGCTGAGAAAGAATTATGAATGAACTGGTGCATGTCTGTTTGAGAGCGAGAAGGATCTTGATGTATCTTTGGAGGCCATGTCTGTGGATTTTAATGAGGGCAAAGCAGAGAAAGGCTGTTAGAAGTGTATGAGATCTCAGTGAAATATAAACAGGGAGCTCTGGATTTACGAGCAGGTAAACCAGATCCTTTTTTTTTTTTTTGAAAAGCTGCAAGTAACTTCTAATCTTCCTGCCATCAATACAATTCTCAACAGTTGTAGCTGCATGAAACATGGCAGTTCAGGAAGACTGATATGATCTTTACCACTAAAATGCTTATTGTTAAGTGTCAAAGGGAAGGGAAGGACTTCTAGAGGGATATAAAGATCATGGCTCTAGCTCTTGTGTCAATCCCTTTGGCTTGCTTATTCCACAGAGGTGGAAGGAAGTGTCACTTCACTTCCTGTGTTTGCCCTCACTGTTGTCTTATGCTGGGTATCTACAGCAGGTGAGAATTTCTGTGAGTAGCTAACTTCAGTCCTAAATTCAATTCTGAAAAGTTGCTGATAAGAAGGGAGAAATGCCTGGAGAAGCTAAGTGGGCCACTAGTCTGTTCAGCTGAAGAATCTGCATTTTACTTCTGCTACTCAAGCTAGAGCATGAACCTCTGAAACCTACTTGTGTCACTGAGCATTGCTTTGAGGGCACCATCTGAGGTGAAATCAGTGTTGCTCCCACCTTTGGTTCTTGGAAAACCTCAGCCTTGCTCTTGGATGGGAACCAAGCCACAACAACACAGACGTTTACCAAACCCAGCCAAGCACTTTCATAATTAATTTCATTTGGGACCAAAGGGGAAGCAACACAGAAGTCCCAGTTCATGTGTCATCAGGCTGCTAGCCCATATTTTAGTCTTGACATCTTCTTGAAGGTGGGCAAAAAAACCCTACGCAGTCTGTTACCTAACAGAGAGGAGTTGGTCAACTGTGATAGAGTAGTGCTCACTTATGACACCTAAGGTGATTTTTAAAATCTAAATCCAGAGGAAAATTACTAAAGAATAAGCTTCATTTGGCAGAGCTGTGTCAATCTCCAGTTATGCTCAAGAGCTCATCTAGCTACCCATGATTTCTTCAGTTCATTGGAGCAAACAGTATTTTAATGAAGATTTTCAATCTACCTGTTTGAAACTTTGAAAGACTGTTTTGTTTACCAAGGAGGCCTGTTTTACAATATATAATGGATCATAAAAGATGTCTTTGCTATTGCATGTGTTGTAATTTTATGTTGAAAATAAGGTTTATTCTCTCTTCTTTCCCCCCCCCCCCCCCTTTCCTCTTCAGGAATGCCACAGTAAGAGAAAAGACATGAAGTATCTTTAAAGGAATTCTGCTTTTGATCAAGCTGCTAAAAATGGATATGAACACTGTTTTCTCCTTTGAGGTAAGTATTGACAGGGAGAAATAAAAGAAAACCTGACTTGTTTCACTTAGTGTTGCCTGTCACCACTGCTGTTCTGTCCAGCAGCTTTTGGTCAGGTATTTTATAAAGTTATAGCATCTGTGTCTTGGTGAACTTTGTACTGGAAGTCTTAAATGGAAAAGTCCTAGAATTAATCCTTTCATTTACAGAATTAGTCAGCTTTGTTCTGCTATTCCAGTAGATAAAAACAAAGGCATAAAGGATGGGTGTTGTTGCAGGGTTAACAATGGGTGGCTTCTGCACAGAGTAGCTTTTGACCCAATGTCAGGCTTTTTTTTCAAAGCATCAAAGAAACGGAAGCTGCTAAAGTCTAATTTTCAAGAGCGAATACTTACACAGACTAACTGCAGATGCAGGAAATGAGTGAGATCTTGGGATGAAAAAAGAGATTGTACCACAAATATGCAGGTACTGTTTCATGCATCCGAGCAGGTTTCTGAGTTCCTGCTCTCTGCAGCCTAGGGAAAAGTGGGGCCATTGCCAGCCTGAATTACAGGTGCATATTTATATTGCTTTTGTCAAGTACCACAGCCAGATCTTCACAGTTCCTACGGTAAGCATATAAGTTAGGAAACCAAATATGTGTCCTTAATTTAGGATCACAGGAAAATTCA